CACGGTCGCAAGCTATGAACGCGGCCTAAGGCATTGTTCACAGTCTGCGACCCTGACGAAACGGCGGTCGGGAGAAAAGCAAAAAATCGCCAACGGTTAGTTTCGCCGAACCGCCGCGGTTCGGCGGTTGGGCGAAAAGCAATAGATGTGTATCGATTTCGCTGGCGAAAAACGCCACGGCGATCGAGCTAGCGTTTCGTCGAAGGCGAAAAACGTCGCGGCGAAACGCCCGTCGATTCGTATCAAAACCCTTTCGCCCAACCGCCAGACTCTTCGCCCAACCGCCAGTCGATACGTATCGAAAGCTTTTCGCCGAACCGCCGCGTTCCAGAGAAACGCTGGACCGCAGACTGTGGACAATGCCTGAGGGCTATAGCTTTGCGAAGCGTGTCGCGCTGCGTTAAATAATAACCAGCTAACGGGGAAGATCTTGGGCATTTCGTCTTATGTCCGGTTACCGGCCGGATGTGTAGTTCTTAATCTTGGAGTGGGCGAATATGTAGCCCAAAACTCGACTACAGTTGTCAACCACCTAGGCCAGTCTGACCATCCGTACCCTCACTACAACCTTTTGTCCAGTTTGTCTTACATTAATTACCACTTCTGTCGAGAATGAATTTATTGATTGTGCAAGGTAGACCCTGATTACTAAGTCCTGTTTCAGGAAGTTGTTTTCTACATTGTAATATGCTTCTACTCGTGACAGAGAGGTGAGTCTTTTATTATTAGTGTTATACTATTCGAAGACTCCTTAAGTATACTTTTACTGAGTTTATAGGATTATACTTGAATTTAATAAAATTATTTTTGATTATGCATTTAATAAGACTAGTGAGGAGTACTACAGTAGAGTAACCTTGTTCTTTAAGGTGAATTTTGGTGACTTTTAACCTTTCTATAAATCTTCTCTTTTAGAACATGTTCTAGCGATCCTTCAGAATTCCAGAGTATATTGCATTTGTCTTAATATGACCCGATATATTAGTTGTCGAATTAGGAAAACGTTTTATTTTAAAGTTGAAATGATCAACTTAGTTACATCTATACTCATTTTCATGTGTGATCTCTAAGTTTAGTATGTTATTGTGAATACTTTTCAATTTTTTAAGATAGTGTTTGTATCTACATTATGTAAAACAAGTATGTCATCCATATACCTGAAAGGTATTATTTTAGATTGTTCAGGGGTTATGTTTGTTAAGGGAGTATATGTATTTTAAATAGGACAGAGTGAGGTCCGCCAGAAGTGGGCTAACACGCTACCTTATGGGACTCCCTTTTTCTGAATAAAGATGTATTCCGAGATTGTTTAGTAGATAATCTATATAATAAATTATATCTGTTGAAGTAAAATAATTGTAGTTTTTATATGAACAATTATCAGTGTAAAATGTTCTGAAATCATTGTTTGTAATATACTTTTTGCCACTGTTTGGCAAATTTGGAACCTATTTTGCAGATTGTGTGCTTTTTCGGCAGCCCGTATGCTTGCTCAATTGCAGGAACCAACTGTTGCTAACGCATGCTGCCGTGCGCACCTCACGGAACATGGTGCTTATTATTAGGTTGGCGGGAAAGTTTTGTCACATTTTTTCAAATTAGACTTTCTTTTTACAGAGAGGCGCAAAAATGAAGGTGTTATCAGGTGGTTGAGTTTTCGGTGAGGGGCGCTAGCAGGGTAAGGCAACCATCTTCACAGAGCGCGTCACATTACCAGCAAGGCGTTGATTCCAGCAAAAGATATAGAGGTTGAGACGGGAACATCGACGATGGGTGACAAAAAGCGATAACGACTGACAGAGGTTGATAGACGGACGGCGTTACGGTCCTCGTTTTGTCGTCGAGAGGTAGTGACATGTCTTACACTGGCAAATCATAAGGACTTAGTCGTAAGGGGCATTGAAGACGGGTGACAGGTAGTTATATCAATTGACAGTAGTAGATGAGAAGCCATACAGGTAGTCCTCACTACATTTCTTACCACTTCTTACTACCTGCTAGCAAGTATTATATGTGTGAACCGTGATTCTTTTCATCACCGTCAACCATCCACTGGAAATCGAACCGCTATCGATTTTCACATGCATGTAATTAGTACTTCGAGGCGGGCAGGAAGGGGGGGGGGAAGGAAGAGGTTGTGCGTCTACAATATAATCGAAAAAACTTTATTTGGGCACAACAAGCCCCCTACTGGGTTTTCCAGTTTTTCCACATTGAGGATTGATCTTTCTATTAGTGTCACTGGCTCGGCTCCTGCTAATCCTTATTCTGCATTATGGACAGGAATGTTATCCGCTACCTTCAGCACCGACCCCTTGAAGCGCTTCCTTGAACTATTTCTTCTACCACCCAGCATGGCAGCTGTCGACGCCGAAATCATGGAGCTGCGCAAGGACAATGTCTAC